CAACATTTGTAAAATCTGTAAGTAAATGGAATCATTTCTGTGTTTTAGAAAGGTTCCAGTGGCAGCTGTTAGAACATGGGTTTCAAGTTAAGTGTGGAAATAGCAAAATAAACACAGGCCCAGTAGAAATTTAAAGATATAAATTGATACTTTGCTAATAAGGGACAGAGAAGATTCCAGAGGTGTATTTGATAGTTAAATAAATAACTGGAAAAAAATTAATTAAAAATAAGTCTAATCTTGGGAACCAGCAGTTAGCGTAATGGCTATGTCGCTGGACTCCCACGTAGTCGACCGCGGTTCGCGTCCCAGACCCGGTGGCTTAAAATTCACGTCGGGCCCGTGTGCGTGCGTGCCCAAGATCCCAAGAGGAGAATGGAGGAGAAGGGCTTGCGGCGTGACCATCCCCCCTGGGGGGGTGATTTCTCGTTTTCTGTCTCTATGTCTCTCTCTGTCTGTCTGGCGAGCGCATGCGCCCTATAGCAAAAACCCCCCCAAAAAAAAAAAAAAAAAGTCTAATCTTGATCAAAAGTGATAAATGTAAAAGAAAAGCAGTCCAGAACAGACTGTGGAATACAAGGTTCATTTAAGTATCGAAGGCTTCAGTAAAGCATAGGCCTGAGACTTTGGATAGGCCCCATACTCATCAGGGTCATTGCCCCAAAAGGCATGTTTTAGTTTACAGTAAATACGTTGTGATGCTGCAAAAGGAGCAAAAATACTACAGGGTGACACCCATTCTTTCTTCTTTTCACTATGCTTGATTTTATTATGTAAAGAATAAAATATAGCCAGTTGCCTACATTATTTAAAATGGACCAACATAAACTCTTGTAACATTCCCTTCTCTTGTCCTTTCTCTTTATTACATAAATAGTTTTCTAATCTATTTTTGAAGAGCACACATGTCTGGGAAATCAGATTTTGCTCATTTGGGCAATTTATCCTTTCTTTTTTTTTTCTTTTTTCTTTTTTGGAGAGGTTTTTGCTATAGGGTGTGTGTGCTCACCAGACAGAGACAGAGAGAGAGAAAGCGATAAATTACCCCCCGGGGGGGATGGCCACACCGCAATCCCTTCTCCTCTCGGAATCTTGGGCACGCATGCACACGCGCCCAGCGTGAGTTTAATCCACTGGGTCAGTGATGCGAACCGCGGTCGACTACATGGGAGTCCAGTGACATAGCCATTACGCTAACTGCTGGTCCCAATTTATCCTAAGCCCTAGTTCAAGTAAACCATTTTTATTTGCAACAACAAAAAAGAATTCTCTGGTGGTTGGGGTGCTGGACTCCCACATGGTTGACTGTAATTCGAGTTCTAGAGTAGGAGGCTTGCTTTCTCACTCGTCCTCTCTCTCTCTTTCTCTCTGATCAAATTTAAAATAGTAATAATAACAATAGTGATGAATAAAATAATTATTAAAATAGAAGGAATTCTCCAATGCATCTGACCCCTATTTCTTATCTGCCATATGCAGAGGTGCCTGCTTCTACTAATTTGTTGGCTAGCCCTTTAGATAGTCTGACAGTACACAGACTTAACTTACTGGAGTACATCTGGCCTTCGTTTTCTCACTTCCTTTACACAAAGATAATGTAATATTATATTTCTGCATCTTTGCTTAACAATGTGTTTTGGATTATTTTCCTTACCCATAGAGATGTAACTATATTCATACTTATACTCTCATTACTATTGGCATTGTGTGAATATATTGTAATTAATTTACCCAGTCCCCTATGGTAGATATTTAGGATATTTTCAGTGTCTTGCGAGTACAAACCATCTATGATATATTAGGTTGTTGGAAAAGTCATGATGCATTTTTTACATAGTAAAATAGAAAAATATGTCATGACTTTATGATTTGAGCTTACATGTATTCAGAGGATGAAATTCCTGTAAACAGAACTATTAGGTCAGATGGTATGTGTACATTTTAAATTTTGATGCCCATTACTATATATTACTGTTAAAAGAGGTAGTATACTTCATAATCTCTTCAACACTATCTCTTGGCCAGTTTATTTTCCTTTCTTTTTGTATTTTATTGTCTTTTTTATATATTCAGCCACTGTATATCATTACAGCCTGCAAAATGAATTTTCCCAGCATGGATACACTGTATACTAGTCCAGTTAAAGATATTGTCATACATATTATCATCAACAGATAAATTTGCATTTTTGTGACCCTTAAGTGTTTTTGTTTCTTTTTTTTCTTTTCAGCCTATTCTTTCTTTTTTTTATTTTTTAGAGGGGTTTTGGCTATAGCCAGACAGAGATAAAGAGACAGAAAGTGAGAAATCACCCCCCAGGGGGGATGGCCTTGCCACCATAATCCCTTCTCCTCTATTCTCCTCTCAGGATCTTGGGCACACATGTACATGTGCCCGGTGTGAGTTTTAAGCCACCAGGTACAGGACGCGAATCGTGGGCGACTACATGGGAGTCCAGTGACATAGCCATTATGCTAACTGCTGGTCCCTTTTTGGCCTATTTCTTAGCACCAGAACCGTCATAGACTACATCAACTTTTTTTATTTCTGTAAATAGGATAGAATAAATGGTATTTCTTACCTTTATCATTTTCACTTACTTAATTATGAGTAGGTAAAAGTATATTTTCATATTTAAAAAAATACTTATATTTCTTTTCTGTGAAATAATCTCTCCCAGTTTCTGTTTGGTTGTTGACTATTTTTTTTTAAATCCCTTACAGCTTTTTTTTCTTTTTAAAAACCATGTATTTATGGGACCAGCAGTTAGCGTAATGGCTATGTCGCTGGACTCCCATGTCGCTGACCATGGTTCGAGTCCTGGACCCGGTGGCTTAAAACTCACACCAGGCATGTGTGCATGCGTGCACAAGATCATGAGTGGAGGATGGAGGAGAAGGGATTGTGGCGTGGCCATCCCCACTGGGGGGTGATTTCTCGCTTTCTGTCTCTCTGTCTGTCTCTGTCTGATGAGCATAAGTGCCCTATAACAAAAACCTCTACAGAAAAAAAAGAAAGAAAAAAACCCCATGTATTTATTTATGTATATTGTGACATTTATTTATTTATTTATTTATTTATTTAAGTTTTAGGGTATGCTATAGGGTTCATATACTTGCCAAAGAGAAACAGAGAAAGAAAGTGAGAGGGAAAGTGAGAAATCACCCCCTGGGAGGATGGCCATGCCACAATCCCTTTTCCTCCATTCTCCTAGGATTTTGAGTACACATGCACATCCACCTTGTGTGATCATCAAGCTGCCAGGTCTGGGACTCAAACCATAGTCGGCTATGTGGGAATCTAGCAGATTTACCACCATGCCACCTACTGGCCCCTGCGTATAGCTCTTTAATTAAGGAAATCAGCAAAGATTCATAACTTTCAAAAACTATATTTCTATAGTTATATTTACATTTTAAATTTTAAGTCTTCATTAGGAATTTATTTTGATTAAAGGTAATAATTACTTATAAAATTAATGTAATTGTAGGTATGCCTAGTAGACTGTCTGCTAGATGAATTAAAATATAAGATTTTGAGGGATTTCTCTTTTGGACTATTTTAGCATTACTAAATAACATTGAATAATTTTATAGTTTTCTGTGTTCATGATTAGGCAATAGTTCCTATTTCTTTATTAATTCACAAATTATTAAAAAAACATATATTAAGAGTATTTTCCAAAGAAGTTTTAAAAAGTAGGAACCATAGAATTTGAACAGTCTTAATAAGTGGAATAATCAAAATAAGTGTAACATTTAAGGAACCATGTGTCATTATTCTTGATATATGCAAGGAGAGAGGAGTGACCCTAGGCACAGTAGTTGAGTGTCGTACATAGGGAGCCAGATCCCCATATGGTTGACTTTTTTGAATCCTGCCTTCAGAGGCTTGGAAAACATACTGGGCATGTGTGCATACATGCCAGAAATGCTAACAAGAGGAGAAATGGAGGAAAAATTATTATATTAATATAATCCTGTATAGAACCAGAACCTGCTGCCGCTGCCCTTGAAAATTCCTAAGCACATCTTAGGCATATACTCACCTTTTAGTGCTATTAATATAATGACCAGTCCCCATTGCGAAATGCCTTCTCTCTCACTCTCTCTGGTGAGCACATACCCTCTAGCAAAAAAAAAAAAAAAAAAAAAAAAAATAAATGGTGGGACCTTGT